AATGAAGAGGTGTGAGAATATGCTCATAACCCACTCCTAAGCAGAAATAGGATATCTAGAGGTGTTACATACTACACATATTTTCAAATTTTTTCAATGTACTGATCAGTTGTGGTCCTTGTTTTCTTCTTTTTTCTTTATTTTGCATCATTATCACCATTGTTGAAGATACATGAGGTTGGCAGTCAAATGTTGTTAAAGGTAAAGGTTTGCAGATTACAACATGTTTTCTCTGGCCCAGTAAATACCCTACAAATTGGAGGTGGGGTGGGGAAAGAGGAAAAGACAATGAGAAAAATAAGACAATACACCAAAATTTGTGAGATGCAGAAAAAGCAGCACACAGGGGAAATTTTATATCTCTAAAAACTTACATCAATAAACAAGAGAAAGAGCAGATCAATGAACTGAGCATTCAACTAAAAACAAAACAAAAATAAATGAACAATCTCTAATTAAACACCAAAATAAAAATCCTAAAAATACACACTGTGTATTGTGAGTTACACAATACACAGTAGTAAATGACCATAGTAATCCAGTGTTTGAGAAACCCAAAGATTTAAGCTTTGGGAGCCAGAACTCAGTATATGACAAAAATTGTTAGGAAAACTAGAAAGCAGGTTGGCAGAAACTAGAGAAACAGCAACTCACACTGTATATCAAGATAAAATCAAAATGGGTAAAGGATTTAGGCAAATTAGGGGAAGATGGAAAAATTTACCTATCAGACCTATGAATAAGGAAAATGAGTCAAATTGATAAAAATTAAAACCATTCCCCAACTTATACAAACAAGTAGCATTCAGAAGAAGAAATCAAAGCTATCAATAGGTATAGGAACAAAAAATGTTCTAAATCACTCTTGATTACTTCCAGAGAGAGAACTGATCAATTCTGAATGCAGATTGAAACATATTTTTTCACTTTCTTTATTTTTCTTGCTTTTTATTTTGCAACATGGCTAATATGGAAAAAAACGTTATGTGTAATGGATATATCTCTTCCCTTCTCAATGACTAGGGAGGAAAGGAGAGTATTTGGAACTCAAAATAAAAGATGAATGTTAAAATTGTTAAAATAATGTTAATTGTTAATATTAAAAATGCTAATTCAGCAAAAAATCCTGAATTCTCCCAAACATTTAAACAACAATTAATTCCAATGCTACATAAACTTTGGGGGAAAAAAAGAAGTACAGATGGGGTCCTACAAAATCCCTTCTATGGCACAAATATGGTCTTGGTAACAAAACACCAGGAGTCAAAAAGAGAAAGAAAATTATAGATCAATTTAATAATGATTATTGATAAGAAAACTTTAAATAAAATATCAGCAAGGGGGCTACAGTAATATTTGCTATGATCAGGCTGTATTCATGACAGGAATGGAGATCTAGTTCAATATAAAGAAAATTATAAACATAACTGAGCATATTAATAACAAAACTCATAAAATCATGTGATTATTTCAATAGATGCATAAAAAAGGTTTTGATAAAATACAATACCAATTCCTGTTTTTAAAAAAAAACTGAATTGGGGATTTCCTTAAAATGATAAAAAGTATATCTAAAACTAAGAACAAATAACAGCTTTAATAAGGATTAACTAGAAGACTTTTCAATACTATCAGAGGTGAAACAAGGATATCCATTATTACCACTGCTATTGAGTATTTTATTACAAATTCAAGGCACAGAAATAAGACAATAAAAATATTTTGAAGAGATAATCATTGGCAAAGAAAAAGCCAAACTATCACTTTATGTGGATGATATTGATGGTTTATTTGAGAAATCAACTAAAAAACTAATCAAAACCATAGACAACTTCAGTAGTGTAACATAATATAAAATGAATCCAAACAAATATTCAGCATTTCTATATATTACCAATAATCTCTCAGGCAGGCTGGCTCTTTGAGGAAGGTACAATTATCCTTTACCATTATTTTCAACTGTTCTATCCAAGGGACTCGGGGTATTCTTGGGGACTACCTTATTCTTAAACAAAAAAAGACACAGGCTACAATAGAGGTATTCACTTCATCTAATTTCTACCAGGGTGCTAGATTCACCCTGTCCACTAGGTACAAATCTGATGCTATAATGAGTATAGCATCATGGGATGAATTAACAGTGTGGAACCCCCTAGGGATTCTGAGGTTGAGGTAAGTGTCCTCCTCTCATTACAGAAATCTTGAGATTTTTAATACTGGAACTTAATGGGCAGTACCTTCTTTTGGCTATCAGTAAATTTATGCATTTTAACCCATTAAAATACAGCCCTGTCTATGTGGCAGCATCGTTCACATCGTTTAGCATTTTGAAAAAAGAGACTGAGGTGTCATCCATTATGGCCCACAGCACACATTTATAAGTTATGGAGAAATTAGAGGAGCAAGGGGAAAAAAAATCACCTTTCACATCAACAGATAAGGGATGAGGTCCTGAGTAAACCAGTTATAGGGATATCACAGAAAATAAAATGAACAATTTTGATTGTATAAAATTGAAAAAGCTTTTGCACAAACCTAATACAATTAAAATTAGAAAGAAAACAGGTTAATGGGGGGATTTGCAGCAAATTTCTCTACTAAAGGCTTTATATAATATATATATATATATGTATATATGTGTCTATACATACTTACATGTATATATGTATATAGAATAAATTCTAATTTATCAGATTAAGAGAATGGTCAAAGCCTATTAAGAGGAGGTAGGCTTCAAAGGAAGAAATCCCAGCAATCAAAAATCATATTGATAAAATGCTCGTTACTAACAATTAGAGAAATGCAATTTAAAGCAGTTTTGAGGTTCCACCTCCCCCCGCCCCAGTCAGGCTGTCTGGCAAAAATGAAAAATGAAATCAACCACACACACACAGACACACACACACACACACACACACACACACACACACACACAGACACACACACACACACACACACACACACACACAGACACACACACACACACAGAGACACAGACACAGACACACACAGAGCAGCTTTCTTTTGTGTGTTATCTTCCAGCATTACATTGTAAACTTTTGACACAGTGACTGTCTTTCTTTTTGATATTTGCGTCCCCACTGCTTAGCACCGTGCATGGCACATAGTAGGTGCTTAATAAATGTTTATTGACTATTAATGAACAAAATGACAAATGTTGCTGAGGCTGCAGGAAAATAGACACAGAAATCATTGCTAGCAGAGATACAAATTGATCCAGACATACTGAGAAGCAAGTTACAATTGTGCCCCAAAAGTTACTAAATTGTGGCCCAACTGTACCACCACTGGGACCACATGGGGAGCAAAGAAAAAGGACCCACACATACAAAAATATTTATAGAAGCACTTTTTGAAGGAACCAAAAACTGGAAACTAAGGGGGTTTCCACCCACAGTGAAATAACTAAATAAAGTGTGGTCTATGAATATACTGGCAACATAATATTTTATTGTACCATAAGAAATGGACAATTTCAGGGAAAACTGAGAACTCTTAAGATCTGATACGGATTGAAGTGAGCAGGACATAAAGGAAAAAAACCCTTACAAAGCTTTTAGAACCCTAATTAATGCAGTCCAAAGGACTGTGGATGAATCATGCTATCCATCTACTGCCAGAGAGGTGATGGACTGAAATCCAGAATGACACCTGCCTATTTGAACTTGGTCAAGATGGGGATTGGTTTTGCTAGAATATATATTTATTGTGAGGGTGTTGTCATTTTCGTTGTTGCTGTAGTGGGGCAGGGAGTGCCACAGGGAGAAGTGATGATAAATCCTTGTAAAAATAAATTTTAAAAACTTTAAAATAAGAGAATTACTCTTCCCAGTCCAATTAAATTGGTTAGATATCCTATACAGAAACCATCCTTTTGTGTATTTTTAAATATTTAAGATGGGGACTCGTCCATACCTGCTGGCCTCACAAAGCTATATTAGCTCTGCATGCAGTTCAGTGAGCCTAAAAGAGGAGGGTTTTGTCCTTGTGAAAGGCTTAAGAACTCTGATCAATGCAACGACCAATTAAAATCCTAAGACAGATGATAAAGCACGGGAACCACATCTGGACTGGTGACGGAGTAATAGATGCAGAATACGACACGTTTTCAGATGCATGCAAAATGGAGATTTGTTTTGCTTGACTATACATATTTGTTACAAAGGCATCTTTTTCTTTTTCTTTCTTTTTTTAATGAGGCGGGGTGTGGGAGGTAGAGAAAACAAAAACGGAGGAAAAGGGAAAAACAAAACAAAAGACAGTCGTTAAGGCACCTTAAAAAAACTGAACAAAGGAGAATAAAATGAAGGACAAAAAGAAACATCGGAAGCTTTGAAAAATACAGATCGAATTTATAAAATATTTCAAAAAACTAAGCTCTAAATTATAGAGATCAACAGGTGCATGGACAATCTTTTTTCTATTTTATGATGTACATGGAAATGTTTATTTGGTAGGGCGTTTGTTGAGTCCGGAACAATAATGAAGGAAGGAAAGAAGGAAGGAAAGAAGGAAGGAAGGAAGGAAGGAAGGAAGGAAGGAAGGAAGGAAGGAAGGAAGGAAGGAAGGAAGGAAGGAAGATGAAATGATACAAAAATAAGAGATATTTCATAGTCTAGCTCCGCTTTTCCCCCGAATCACCCAGTAGTCCCCCCTTCTGGGCTGCGCTACGCGTAGGGGGTGACGGGGGGGGGAAGGGGAAGGGGACAAAGGGCGGAGGCGGGGAGGCAGAGTAAAAGTGGGGAGGGGGCCGCCGAAAGGGGGTGGGATAGGGAAATCACCGAATGCGTTCCGGGGGGACCTCCATCCCTCCCTCCCGACAGACAGAGACCTGGGCACATCCAGCGGCATATCCACCCACGGGTGAAGGCCAAAACGGAGGTCTGGGTGTATAGGTTGGGTGGGGGGTGCGCACAACTACCTCTCCGCCAGGGTTCTGGGGAATGAGTAAAAGGGACGCCCCACGGGCCCTTACTTACCTCCCCCTCACAGGGGACTCCCACCGGGGATCAGGCACGCCCGGGGTCTAGGGGCGAGAGCCTGACGGAGATGGAGCTGCTTCCCTGGCAGCTCCTTGTCGCAGAATGCGCAACAACCCAGCCCAGGTGAAAACCGCAGAAAGGAGGAGACTTGTGACGTCACTTTGGGAGGCGGGGATTGATCTAGCCTATGGAATGAAGAAATGAATAAAATTTGGGCAAGAAAACCCAGCTAATTGATTGCTCTTTAAAGGACAACCAAATTGCCAGGATTTTTTTTTTCATGTAAAAAAAGGATGAAGATTAGTCAGTCAATTGACATTTAACAAGTGCCTACTATGTGCCAGGTACTATGCTAAGCACTGGGGACAGAAAAAGAGGCAAAAGACAGTCCCTGATCTCAAGGAGTTCACAAGCAAACATATGTGCACAAAGGAGCTACCTACAGGATAAATAGGAAATAACGAACAGAGGGAAGACATTAGAATTCAGGAGGTTTGGGAAAAGCTTCCTGTAAAAGACGGGATTTTAGTTGGGACTTGAAGGAAACCCAGAGAAGCCAAGAAGCAGAGATGAGGGGAGAAAGCATATTCCAGGCAGGGAAGAGAGTCAGAGAAGCTGCCCAAAGCCAGAGATGGAGTGTCCTGGTGGTGGAACAGCCAGGAGGCCAGTGTCAGTGGATTGAAGAACCTATGGAAGGGAATAAGGTCTAAGAAGACTGGGAAGGTGGGAAGGGGCAAGTTTAGGACGAGCTTTGAATGCCAAACAGAGAATTTTGTGTTTGATCCTGGAGGCAATGGGGAGCCACTTCACTCTCTGTGGGGGGGGAAGGGGGAGACAGGGGTGGTATCGTCAGACCTGTGCTTTAGGAATAATCACTTTGGCGGCTGAATGGAGGATGAATTGGAGTGGGGAGAGACCAGAGACAGATGAAGTGCCAGAGAAGGCTATGGGCTCTCTCTTGTGTTCTTACACCTCTGGGGATGGGCTGCCCTGAGCCATCCCCACTTGCCATCCCAGTCCCTGCTTCAGATCAATGATTTTCATCTCCGAGATGGCCTATCAGAGCTGGTAGTCAGACTATTAACTCTGTGAAGTACTTAAGAAATATTTCTTGGCCCATGTGAGTAGAGGTTGTTGCATTCTTTGTATTTGTAGAGAACATACTAGGCCTTTAGTAAATGCTTATTGATTGGATTGAATTGGAGTGGAGTGGAGTAGAAAACATTCTCTGCTGGTTAGCACACTTCATCCTAAAAATGAACAGCTTTCTGGCCACCAGATGACAGTGCAGCCTCACTTAACAGAAGGCAGCCCAAGTTCTATGGTGGAAGAGTGGAAATCACAAGCTGCCTTTCCATCCATGAGCCAGAGAATGATCATGTGAAGACAAAGGCCTAAGGAGAATAATAAAACTAATAATAACTTTGATACCTCCAGACATTCAGATTTACAAAATTCTTTTTCCCTACAATTGTGTGGGGTAGATCGTACAAAGGTTTATTGTGGGTTGAGAGGGAGGGATGAGTACCATCAGTCTAGAGACAGAAGTCCCTGGGAAAGTGGGGCCCGCCAGAGAGGATGGGATACACCTCCCCAGAGAAAATACAGATCTTGAATGTATTGGTGCAGTTCAGGATTACAAAATTCTCTCCTAGGGCCATTGACTTCTTTCCTTATAATAAGAATTTTCATCTAGTGATACAAGACCTTTCAAAGCTTTTAAAGAAGAAGCTGTTTGGGGTTCTAGGAAGAGCACTAGATGAAGAACCAGGAGATTTGGGGTCTAGTGCACTCTCTGCCCCCCCACTAGCTGTGTGACCTTTGACAGGTCCCTTCCCCTGTCAAGGTCTTCCTTAAGCAGCCTTGCAGGCAGAGTAGCAGTGAGCTAAGGAGGGAGCCCCAGAGGAAAGTGCTGCTCATTTCTTTTGGATTCCTGCCCCATGCACCTCCCCTCCTCCTGCCCTCCTTTAAGGCTTCTTCTGGTGCTGTTTCCCCATTAGAATGTAAGCTCTTGGAGGGCAGGGACTGTTTTTCTTTTGGCTTCTATTTGTATTCTCAGAGCTTAGCACTGTATCTACCGCACAGTAAGCATTTAAACTGTCTTTGTGACTTGCTTTCATCTGGAAAATGGAAAATAATACTTGAATTCTCTACTTCCCAAAGGTCCTGTTAGGATTAAATGAGATAGGTGAAAAGTGCTTTGTAATCATTAAAGCACCTGTGATTTGCATAGCATGCCTTTAACAGTTCAGAGACTATCTTGGGAAAGCTAAGAGTTCAGTCATGGATTTAGGCTGGGGACAGACTTACTGGCATCTGGCTAGGAGATGACTCTGGATTTTTTACTGGAATTATGATTGGCATGTTTATTAATTCTCCTTCCTCATGTCTTGTAGCCACAGCTGGTTTACCTATCTTCTTAGACATAGGCTTCTGAAGTTAGCTTCTATATTCATCTATCTTTGCCTCTAGCCCCTGCTTTACCTGTTTCTCTCTGTATATGTAGATGTGTTTATGAAGTGTCTATGTGTGTACACATATGTCCCCTGTTATTTTGTAGCACCAAGTAATTAATGTCTGTACCTACCCAGCTGTCCAGAGCAAAGTGGGAAAGACGCCCACCTCTGCTCTTGGCCTAGAGATCATAACACAGGCCTTGTAAAAAATTGGCATGCCGGTCAGCAGCTCAGGATTGAGAGTATCCTTGGAGACAGACCAGTCACCATGGCAACTAGTGATCTGGCTCAGCCTCTAGTGAGGTTATACTGAAAAGGTTGGTGACAAAGGATGTGAGACCCATGTCTCACTCCACACTAGTTGAAGAGGCGTGCATTTTGCCCAATGGTGGCTCTAGGGGTGATATGCTTGGGTAGCTTTTCCTTTCTGCGTCCATTGCTTGGTTTAAATCTTTAGTCTGTTACTTGCAATAGTCAGTTTTATGGCAGGGAGCTAATTTTTACTTTATTTATTAATTTATTACCAATAATCCCTGGGAGGGCCTCAATCCAGGATTAGACAGACTACATTTGCACCAAACACCCTCAAGATGCTATGGGGAAGAAGGTGGCATTAATTGGGTATAAAGAATCACAGATCATAGGCAATGTATACCTTAATCCTTGGTCTGAGTTCCACTCCCAGGAGGCTCATGCACTCCACAAAGAGAAGCTGCTATCCCCGTCACAAGCTCTGCAAGCTTGGCCAAGCTCCTTCCCAGCTCTGGCACTGAGTGTCTGAGGACACTTAGATCTCTGTGCATTCACATGCTGTGGGCCCTTCAAGTGCTGCCAGTCAACGGTTGAAGGTCCTTCCCAGGCCTGGCCTTCTATGTCCTAAGGATCCTCCCAGCTCTGCCATTCTATGACCTATGACCCTCCCAACTCTGACATCCAGTATTCCAAGTTCCTTTCCATCTCTGTCTCTCTAACTTCTGGGATATTCTATGATCTAAGCACATTCCCAGCCCTGATACTCTATGATGTCTTTTCTAAGTGTAAAACCCTGATACAATATTCAGCTCTTCAGAAGCCTAGGGATGATGTAATGGCCCCTAAGATCCATAGGCTTACCTCCTCTCTTGCTTAGGGAGTTTATCTTAGACAAGAAGCTATGAGTTCAACCACAATCTCTTTAGGCTTGGGTTAGGAAATTCCTCACATTTAGGCAGAGATTGGGTTCTATGCCTAAATTTACTTTTACAACTGCTCCCATACTCCCGGTCAAAAATAGTTCTCTCAGTAGTCGGCAGCTTAAGTAGCCTTGCAGACACAGCAGCAGTGAGCTAAGGAGGGCACACCAAGGGAAAGAGCTGCTTGTTTCTTTTGGATTCCTGCCCCATGCACCTTCACCCTCCCAGCCCTCATTAGTGGGCATGAACATAGCACACAGCCCAAAGGAAGAGAAGTAGGCACCTAGTCCTACACCAAATCTTGGCTTGCGGCTTGGTGAAAACAATTAGGGAAAAATGCTTCAGGCCTTAAAAGAACAAAGATTCCTGCAGACAAGAGAGATCATTATCAAATATCAAATGCAGCAGGTCAGTGGCAGGATAAAGAGGCCAAAGACAGGCACTTGTCCCCCCCTCAACTGCCTTTCTTTGGGTGGGTGGTATGGGGAGCAAATATTCATAAAATGTAAGTTAGAGCTGGAAGGGACATTAGAATATAAAATGTCATAACAGCAAGGGGACCTTGGAGGTCATCCAGTCCAACCTCTTCCAATTTACACATGAAAACACCAAGGTTTCAGGAGATTTCACTTCCCAAAGTTATAGAGAATCAGAATTTTAACTTAAGCCCTCTGATTCTCAAGCCATTGCTCTGTCTGTCTCTTTCTGCTGCCCCTCTTGCTTGCCTCTCATGCGAACTTACAAAATAGCTTCTCATTGCTGAGCAGCAGCTTCCTGGCCCTTTGTCTATTAGCCCTGGATGAACTACTTCTACTCCACTTGCCCTTTCCCACCACCATGCCTTTACTCACACAGGTCCCCATGCTTGGCATCCTTTACTCCCCATCGGCATTGACTGAAGTCCTTTCCTTTCCTAGAGCCCCAGAGCAGCTGAGACATCCTCCAGGAAGGCTTCTCTCAAGCCTTGTAAATGTCTTCTCCCTCCTCAAATTTCCCTTGACACTCTGGATCTCCCATATGCTACTCCCACAGGCTAGTAACAGTTGCTTTTTCTATAGGCTTTTAAGCTTAGAACAATTTTATTTGCATAATCATTGCAGTTTTACCTTGGATCATCCTGGTCCTTACTCCACTCCCACTCCACTCTACTTCGGCAATCCACTCACAACCCCCAGTAGACCAAGGTCATTAAAGGCAGGGAATTAGCAACAATTCAGCCTTTAATGTTTGGATTATTGTAATGCAGAACATTATTTTACCATTTAGGTAGTAGAACCCTTTAGGCCATGGAAAACTCCAAATTTCTTAGCAAGACCCTTATCTGGCTGCTCAGGCTCCAGCCCTCAGATCATATCTCTGGAAACCTCCAAATTCCTTAGCAAGACCCTTATCTGGCTGCTCAGGCCACAGCCCTCAGATCATATCTCTGGAAGCCTCCATTGTGAAAAAGTTTGCAGAGCATTATCATATCTACACAGAGGGAGAAGGGTGTCCTTGACCAGCCCCCCCCAAAAAAAACCTCTTCCTCTTGCCAGAC